TCCGCCTCGCTCTTCATCCTCCTGCCCCTAGTCATTCGTATCCTGGTTGCATCGGCCACTGGAGGGCCATTGAAACCGCCCGCAGGCGCTCGAGAGCCGCCCGCGACACCCCTAGACACTCCCGTGGGGGCCCAAAAATGCCCCGAAAGGCTCCAAACATGTTTCTAACAGCTTTCCCAACAGACTCGTAGAAACTTCTGGTCCATGGCGGCGACCCAGGCGCAGTGGCAGGAGGGGTCGGGCGAGGCTGGATCAGATGGCGCCGGCCCTGGGGGCAACGGATTTTAATCCGGTGTCCCAGATTGGCGCCGCTCCCTCCCCCCACTCACCCGGAGACATTGGGCTACCAGGGCAGACGAGATGGGTCAAGAGGTTTCCAAGATGGCTCCACGACGGCCGAAGAGTAAACACCCCGAGAGGGCCCCGAGACGGCTCAGAGATCCCCAACACGGTTAGGGCCAGGAACGTTCTAATACGGCCGAAGAGGCCCCCAAGAACCCCCCAAATTGCCCAGTGTTATTGCCCGTCGCCCAGCGACGGAAGACTCAGGATAAAGAAAGCAGCAGTGGGCTTTCTTCCTTGCATTGCCCATTCGGACAGCGCGCCTACTCTAAAAGACACGCAATCTATAGTCTATGCTTGTTGCCAGCCGCGACATCGTAGACAGGGCAGGCGATATACAATTTTTATGTATCAAATATGGCAATCTGCCATCCGTTACTTGGCAAAGCTGTGATTTGGCGTATCTGTTATTTGGCATATGTGTTATCTGGCAAATCTGTCATCTGGCAGATCTGTCTTCCGGCAATCGTGTCATCTGGCAAATATGTTATTTGGCAACGCTATTGACCGGCAGAGCTGTTGCCTGGAATACCTGCTATCTGCCAGTATGGCCATGGCAAAAACAGATGTGGTCCTATCCAGTGTGGTCGTTTGTTTTTACCATATAGGTACGCCGTGTGCAAGGCACATTCTGAACAATACATGCTACATGCAGGGGTGGCCTTGTACGAGTAATGCCATGTACAAGGCATACATACAAGACATAATGCCACGGATGTTAACACAGCAACTTAAATGGCGAAAGTTTTTTGTTTTTTTGGGGCTGATGCCGATGAGCTGCATGGGCGCGCGAAGGTTGTCTTGCTTGCGATGTGCTCGGCCGAGGAGCGTCAACTTGAACATGGGACGTGCGCGACTCCCCTATCCTCTAGGTGGCCAACCCCTTGCGGCAAGGCTCCCGGGAGGCGAAACAGCAAGTCAAGGAACGAGATGCGAAGGGCTATCCGCGCGCGCTCGCTCGCCGAGCGAGATGCGCACGGCTGCGAGCGCTGCCTCGATGGGGGCAGCGGCGCGCTCCTCGAGCGCCGAGCGCAGAGATGCGCTGCGTCGCCGTGCGCGCGCCGCTCCCGCGCTCGCGGACCGCCGCGCCCACGCTGTCGCCCGCGCTCGCCGCCGCCTGCGCCGCCGAGCTCCCCAGTAGGGGGCCACGCGCGAAGCCTACTCCTGCCCCCCACGATTTCTGAGGGGGAGGGTGGGGTTCACTTCGCTCGGGAGCTCCCAGACGACGTGAGCCCCACCCTCCCCCTCAGAAATCGTGGGGGGCAGGGGTAGGCTTCGCGCGTGGCCCCCTCTCCAGCGCAAGCGACGCTGGGCCCGCCTCCGCCGCGCCGTCCGGAGCCGGCTGCGGCCTGCCAATCCCTGGCCGCGTCGCCCGGCGCGGGCGGCGGCGCCTCGAGCCGCGCGGACCAGTGGTTCGGATTGGTTATCCCCGGGCGGCAGTGGCCGTCCTGGCGGCTCCTCTTGAGACCCTTGTGGGCTGTTTCGGGGGGCGTCCAGGGCTGTCTTGAGGCCACTCTGGGCCGTCGTGGGGCCACCGTGGAAGCATCTCGGGCCGTCTTGGAAGCCCTTTGGGACATCGTGGGCGCCCGGGACATCGCCGAAGCTCGCCCTATCATCTCCCCACCGCTTAATTACATCATAATGGAACCCCTGGGTCGCATACATGCCCCGAGCATCGGCACTCCACGATTCCTCTATAGATTTGAACAACCTGATATCATCGACACTCAAAGACACCAGACAAAACATTTCCAAGATGGGCCCCCACGGAGCAACGGAGCCGAACCCGATTGGCACCAAGATACTTTTTTGATCTGCGGCCCAAAGGACGGCTCCAGAGGGCGGGTCAATTAGGTCGTCTGGGGCACAGAGCGAGATAATTTGCGAATCCAGCCGTCTCTGTCGACAGCCGACCGCACCTGCAAGCATGCTCGCAGTTGCACATGCACAGAACAAAATGAACTAAATTCAAGGAGACGCATCTTAGCGTCGACTGGTACACCACCACCACCACCACCACCACCACCACCACCACCACCACCACCACCACCACTACCACCACCAAGATACGAGCAAGGCCCTGCAAATGGAGTTCTCGGGGGGCCTGCGGGGCAACGGATTTCGTTTCATCGCCCTTCGCGTCGCCGGGGATGCAGCGGATTTTATTTCGGCGCTCCCCGTCTCGCCGCGGCTCTTGGGGCAACGGATCTACTTGCATTGCGTTTCGATTCGCAGACCCGAATGTGATTTGTTTGCTTTGTGTAACTGAATCATGAGATCTGGATGGACTACCTTAAATAACCGTATGATTCAGTTTATTCAACTCATGCCGGCGCCATCCCCGGAGAGGCCGGGGCGAGCTCAGGGCCGCCGAACTCATTTCAGCTGTGTAGTTTGTTTAAGTAACCCACGCATCTTAGTTCAATGAATTACATTCGTTCGGCTGCGCCTGGTGCTCGCTGAGATCTCCGCCGGAGGGGTCGGAAAATGAATACATAATTTCAGTGAGTTGAAGGAAAGACATAGCATTTTCAGACATTGAATTTGTTTGAGTTCTTTTACGTCTTATTTACTTGCTTTAAGTTGTTAAATTTGTTATAAACGGTTCAATGTAGCCATGCAGATTATTTATACAAGTTAAAGTAATTCATTTTGTTTCACTTATCCACTTTATTTCGGCGCCGTCCTCGGAGACGCCGTGGTGAGCGCAGGGGCGCCGAAGTTATTTAATTGTCTAAATTTATCTAGTTAAGAGACATTCACTAGTAAACACATTATACTAATTTCGCCGCGCCCGAGGCTCGACAGGATCTCCGCCAGAGGGGGTCGAGCAAAACATCAAGTACAGTCAATAAATAGGACGCATGGAACTTTTTCAATTGATTGTGTTTCGTTTAATTTAACCATGCGGGTCAATTCAACAAAGCAAGTGAGTTCTATTTATCTGATGTGTTCATTTGATACATGTTGGCGCCGTCCTCGGAGAGGCTGCGGCGAGCTCAGGGCCGCCGAACTTAGTAAATACATCAAATGCAAGAAGTAAGCTTCATACATCAAATACATATAACTGATTCAATCCATCCATTTAGTATATACACATACGTTTTTGTTAAGTAATACATGCAAGGAATTCCGTTTATGTACTTATTGAATTCGGTTCATGTGTGTAAGCCGATTAAGCAAACCATACATAAGTTCTATGTCTTTAATTTAAAAAAATTGTTTAATACATATTGGTGGATTAGCCATGCAAGGTTAATTGAGTTTTGTTTATTTAGTTAATTTTGTCAATCTATTAGATTTATGCTGGCGCTATCCTCGCAGTGGCCGCGGCGAGCTCGGGGCCGCCGATATTACTTTCTTCATTTCATCCATTTAATCACCCAGAACGATCAATTGAACCAATTGAATTAATTCTGTTGCGCCTGAGGCTCGCCAGGATCTCCGCCAGGGAGGCCGAAAGCTAAATTAAATCAGTTTAGTAAATCGGATAAATAATCATATATATTGTTTTTAGAAGCAATCCATTGATTTTGTTCTATGTTGAATATATTTCAGGTTCTCACATGAACTAATCAAATTAATTGCAATAATCAATTTACTCCAACATAATGTATTGAACATGTGTCCAATCATATATATATATATATATATGTATGTACGTATATGCATGTACCGATCTTTATGTTGGTTATTGTCTCTCTCTGTCTCCTCCTTCTAGTTCGGCAGGAATGCGACCAGGCCGAAGCGAGACCACGACTGTTCCGAAGCGCGGGCGCCAAACAGTATGGACCCCCCATCGTGATGGGGTGCAAAACGTACCTCGCGTCCATCGGTATAGTGAACTACTGTCAGACTGCAAGCAATACCAGTCCGATGCTGCAGCACGCGTGCGTGATATGGGCTCGCATGGCACATTTGGCGCACCTGGCGCACCTGCCGCATTCTTCGCACCCGGCTTGCCTGGCTCACTAGACGCGCTTGGCGTAAGCGGCGCAAGCTTAGCGCACGCAGCGCGAGTGGCGCTCCCTGACGTTCCTGTCTTATCCGTGGCCGGCCGCGGGATAGCTGTCGTCGCCCATGCGGAGTTCCGCTATTTGTTTCCATTTTTCATGGTATTTCTGTTGTGTTTCTGTCTTGGGTTGGGGGTTGGTCCGAGTGAGCTTGGACCTTGACCTCTATCATTGCTTCTGGTCAGTAGACACCCTTCCCGGTCCCCACCTACTCGGACCCCGTCTGGGAGACCTCAGCGCGTCTGGTGCACGTGGCGCGCGTGTCGCGTCTAGAACACCTGGTACCCTTAGGGTGCGTGGCGCACCTGGCGCCCACACTAGCTACGGGCGGCTGTTCGCTGGATGGCGACCGCTGCTAGTCTGAGTCTCGGGTGCTACTGAGGGGTTTGAAAGGCGGGTGGCAGTGAGCAAGACAGCTTGCAGTTCTTCGCATGTGAGCCCTAGTGATTCCGTCCCTCCCTCCCAACCCTCCCCTTTCTCCTCATCCAGCTTATGCATCCTCTCCGGCTTGCTTCTCCCTGGACGGGCGTGTCCCGAATTCAGGCAGCTTTCGAAGTTACATCCCAATCTTGTGACGATGCTGCGATTTCTGATGGGAGGGGGAGGGGGTCCACCTGATGCCATCCTTGCTGGCCCCCCTGCAAGGGCGAGGGACTCGGAAAGCGGCAGGGTGGTGGCGCTCAAGAAGGCTCCGCGCCGCCGGGCCGTGGGGGTGGCGGGGGGGGGATGGAGGCGGGGGCAGGAACACCTCTGGCCCAAGGTGCCCCCAGGATTTCCAAGGAGGCCCCTGCGACCTCCAGAGAAGCCCTCGCGAGGCCCAGAGGGCCCCAGGGGTCTTGACATGGAGCGAGAAACTGAGGGCATCTTGGGCCAGGGGCACCTTCAGCAACCCCTGACTTACCAGTTTGAAACATATCCCTATCCCCATGTTTGACGTCACCTCACCTCGATGCCGATCTGAAGGATTCCCTCGGTTTGTGAGGGCCTATCCCTGAGTTTGTCCTCGCTTTTTGTTCGCCCATCCTAGGGATAGGGATACGTTCCTCCGCCTCCTCCGCCTCCTCCGCCTCCTCCTCCTCCTCCTCCTCCTCCTCCTCCTCCTCCTCCCCCTCCTCCTCCTCCTCCTCCTCCTCCCCCTCCTCCTCCTCCTCCTCCTCCTCCTCCTCCTCCTCCTCCGACCTGTCATCTGACCGGAGGCCTCGCCCCGCCCGCCTCTAGGGACAGCGACCCTGCGCAGGCCGCAGCCCGGGCGAGGAGGCACGCGGCTCCGCGCCCGCACGGCGCGCCCGGACCTCTGGAGCGGCCCGAAGACCAGAGCCCCTCCCGAGCCCAAGGCGGTCCTCATTGTAAAACGACGCGAAGATCGGGACAAAATCGGATCGGGATAACTCGAAATCTCTGAGAATCGGCGGGTTTGGAGGATGTATTGGGCGCCGCGGACGCTCCAGAGCGTTCCGGAACGCTCTGAGAGCGCTCCGGAACGCTCCGGAGCGATTTATCCCGATTCTAGCCCTGTTTTACATTGCAGCCCCTTGGGCGTATCCAGTCTTGTGGAAGTCGAATCGTGGAGAGGAAGCGCGTCGCCAAGTGATTTCCAGGTGTCTAGAACATGTGGCAAACATGTTTTGAACATGTCGAGCACATGTTTAAAACATGTTCAGAACATTTTCCCCGACATCTTAAACACATTTTAAACTCATTGATCGGACTGTTAGGGTGTCCATTGTCGTGGCATCCGCAAATCCAGTCCTAACGTTGCCCCCTGGGCAGCGCCCTAACGTTCCCCCGAGAGGGGGGGGCGAAGGCCTGGGCGCAGTTTGATCGGAGAGGGCCCGGAGAGACCACGGCGGCCCTCCCCGGCCTGTCTGGGCCTCGTGGAGGCCTGTCGTCGCCGCGGCTAGATCCGCCTCGAGACGCGGCGCAGGATGGGCACCAGGAGGCGTCCAGGGACCGAGGAGGAGGAGGAGGAGGAGGAGGAGGAGGAGGAGGAGGAGGAGGAGGGAGGAGGGAGGAGGGAGGAGGGAGGAGGAGGAGGAGGGAGGAGGGAGGAGGAGGAGGAGGGAGGAGGAGGGACGACGTACATGAAAATAGGCCAGGAAGATGGGACGAAGGGCGAGCAGGCCAGGATAGGCTTGATAAGGAGCATCAGCATGATGATGCTGCAACTGATGAGGAGGATGCTGCTGATGATGAAGATGCTGATTGTTCTGATGATGCTGATGATGCTGACGATGATGCTGACCATTATGATGATGATCATGATGCTGACGACGATGATGATGCTGATGCTGATGCCGATGCCGACGCAGATGCAGACGCTGATGCTGTTAATGATGAACATGAGGATGATTCTTCTGCTGATGATGATACTGCTGATGCTGATGATGATGACGATGATGCTGATGACGACGATGATGCTGATGATGACAGCGACGACGACGATGATGATGCTGATGCTGATGTTGACGCCGATGCATACGCAGACGCTGATTATGTTAAGGATGGCCATATGATGATGCTGATTTCGGTGATGCTGATGCTGATTATGCTGCTGCTGCTGATGATGATGATGCTGGTGATCATGAATCTGATCATGATAATGATGCACTTGCTGACGATGATGACGATAACGATGATGATTATGATGATGATGATGATGCTGATGCTGATGCTGATGCTAATGATGATAATGCTGCTGCTGATGATGATGATGCTGGTGATGATGATGCTGCTGATGATGATGCTATACATAACGATGATGATGCGGATGATGATGCTGATGCTGCTGCTGATGATGATCATGATGGTGATGATGATAATACTGATGATGATGCTGATGATGATGATGTTGATGCTAATGCTGATGCTGATGCCGATGCTGCTGACGATAATGATGCTGATGATGATGTTGATGCTGCTGCTGCTGATGATGATGATCATGATGGTGATGATGATAATGATGATACTGATGATAATGATGATGCTGCTGATGCTGATCATGCTGATGATGCTGCTGATGATGATGATGCTGCTGATGCTGATGATGATGCTGATGATGCTGATGATGCTGCTGATGATGCTAATGCTGATGCTACTGTTTCTGCTTCTGATGATGATGAAGACGATTCTGCTGCTGCTGCTGCTGATGATGATGATGATGATGATGATGAGGATGACGACGACGACGATGCTAATGGTGTTGGTGGTGGTGGTGTTGTGGAGTCGTTGGCGTTGTCGTTTTTGATTTTTCATTACTGAATATTGATATCCGCCAGCGTTGCCACTTAAATATATAGATGGACATGAGAAGAGCGAGAGAAGGAGAAGAGCGAACATTGCATGGCATTGCTTCGTATTGCATCGCATTACTTTGGCATTGGTATACGCAATGAAATAGGCGTAGGCCTTGGCATTGGCATTGTAATTGGCATAGGCATAGGCATCCAGAGGAATCCATAGGAATCCTAGCTCAGGATCCAAAGGACTCCATACGCATAGGCATTGTCATAGGCATTGGCATATCGGCATTGGTATAGGCTTAGGAATCCATACGACTCATAGGAATCCATAGGAATCCATAGGAATCCATAGGAATCCATAGGAATCTATAGGACTCGCCGTTCGAAATAGCTGGGGGGTGCCATTGGAAATAAGGCGGGTGTCATTGGCAAAAGGGGGGGGGGGGGGCATTGGAAATTCTTGACGCTTCGCGTATCCCCACCAGCCCATCCTACACCAGGCACTCGAACGAAGAGCGCCGATGATCGGCAGCTGTGCTCCTCCCCCTCTTCCTCCTTCTCCTCCGCTTCCTCCTCCCCCTATCCTCCTCCTCCTCCTCCTCCTCCTCCGCCTCTTCCTCCTCCCTGGTGGCGTCTTGGAGGTATCTTCGAACGTTTTGGTGGGCTCTTGGGCCTTGCGGGCGGGCGGGCGGCGCTACGCCCGCCCGCGCGCAGGGCCCAAGAGGGGGTCCAAGACGTCTCTTGGAGCCATCTTGGAGGAGATCGATCAACGAAGGGGGGTTTCTAAATTTCAGCCCCCCCCTCAGGAGCCACGATCCTCGTGAGGGGTGTCGAATTTTAGCCCTCCCAGGGGTCGATCTTGGACGCTCTGACCGATCGCGGCCCCCCCTGTCCAGGTCAGTGGGGAGGGGGTAGGGGGAGGGGTAAACCCCTCCCCGAAGGGGAAGAAGGAGGGGTGGAAGAGGAAACTCGTTAAACCACCGACGCCCAGAGGGCTGGTGGGATAAGGGGGGGTGCCATTGGAAAAAGGGGGGAGAGCTAAATATCAATCACTTATGATGAGCTCGGACTCCTATAGGGCAAGCCTATTTGGAGAATTATGGTTGATCCCCCTCCAGTGTCCGTGGTGTTTTTTCAATTGAAGTGCTTCCCCCGGGGCCGTACCGTGTTTTTTTTGGCAGGGAAAGTCACGGGGCTCAAATTGGTTGTCGGCCCCCGGATTATAACAACAACGGCTCCCGCTTGAAGCTTTTTATAATCTAGCCAGGACCCCCGCTCCCGCCTGAGACTTCCTCGCATATTACCCAGGAGTCGCGCTCTCGCTTGGGACTTCCCTATACTTTAATAAGGGATCCCTCTCTCGGCGCTCTGGAGTCGCTCTCTCGCTGGAGACTGGCTTGCACTTTGCCAGAGAATCGCGTTCTTGCGTTGGACTTTCCCGCAATTTACTCAAGCGCCCCGCTCCCTACACTCAGGCACCCAGGAGTCGCGCTCACGCTTAGGACTCCCTCGCAGCTTATTTAGGAATCGGGATCTCGCTGCCCTTCGAGGCCCCGTTGCAGCCCTTCGTGGCCCCCTCGCTGCCCTTTGTGGCCCCATTGCAGTCCATCGTTGCCCCCTCGCATCCCTTTACTGCCCCGTTGCAGCCCTTCGTGGCCCCCTCGCTGCCCTTCCTGGCCCCGTTGCAGCCCTTCGTGGCCCCCTCGCTGCCCTTCGTGGCCCCGTTGCAGCCCTTCGTGTCCCCCTCGCTGCCCTTCATGGCCCCGTTGCAGTCCTTCGTGGCCCCCTCGCTGCCCTTTGTGGTCCCGTTGCAGCCCTTCGTGGCCCCCTCGCTGCCCTTCGTGGCCCCGTTGCAGCCCTTGGCGGCCCCCTCGCTGCCCTTCGTGGCCCCATAGATGTATGCCCTTCGTGGCTCCCGCTTGTGCGCGCCCGTCGTGGCCCCATAGGCATGCGCTTCGTGGCCCCGCTGTCGCCCTTCGTGGCCCCCTCGCTGCCCTTCGTGGCCTCTTTGCTGCCCTCAGTGGCCCCGTTCTTCCTCTGCGGCCCAATCTACGTATGCCATTCGCGGCCCCCGCTCGTTCGCGCCCGTCGTGGCCGCATATGCATGCCCTTCGTGGCGCCGCTGTCGCCTTTTGTGGCCCCCTCGCTGCCCTTCGTGGCCCCGTTACTTCCTCAGTGGCCCCGTCGTTTCCAGCACATCACAGCAGAGTGAGACAACGACTCCCGCAACCAACCGATGCCAATGAATCCTTTCATCACTCTCTTACCTCGAGTGGTTGGGTAGGTGGCCATCTCTCTTCCCTCCAATTGATGGAAGGAACAGAGCGCAGCGGTGTGCATGCAAACATTGGGTGAGGAGGTCAGGGGGGCGGGCGTGTAGCAATTCGTGGCGTTGACCGTGACACTGTACGCCAATTTGGGCTCAAGGGTACACGATCGCCACGTCAGA